ATATGAACATGTTCTGTCATAACAAGACGTTTAAATGATCATGACTATGATAAGTATTGAACAACGATGGTATACTATACTATTCAGGACGGTTGTGGGAACAGGTAGTTTTTGTCGTGTCTTTTGTGTAGCTCACATTAACATTTGGCACGAATCCAAGCAGTAAGCGTAGCTGGCAAAAATAAAATGAACGTCAGATTTGGAATAGGCTGAATCATGCCCATTTTAAAGATTTGGTTTAAAGGGTGGTTGTTTAAGGTCGCTGAAGGCAAATAAAAATAGCAAATCTATACTACTAAAGGAAGAGACCGATTTCATTGAGCCGCAACTCCTTTGATACCATACAAAGTCTGAAATATTTGTGATGTGACGTATAAATGTAGTGTTTTGTACTTCCTAAATTTGTCTTAATTTTGAAACAATCTTTTTTTCACAGAAAACGCCAATTTTTGAGAAAGTATCCAAATTCGGAGACCGTTATCGATCCGTGTCTTATACGCTTTCGCGCATGCTCAGTCGACGTACTGCCCGCGAAATCCAAGTGTTGTTCACATATTTGCATATACAAATTGTTTATTTTCAACGTATTTTAATGGACTTTGCTTTTTTTTTTATTGTTAATAAGATTCTTCAACTTGAGTATGTCAACAGATTTGGGGTAGCGTCAACGGTTTCTGAGATACAAGAGGGGTTGATTCCTGATGAAGTGTTTTCATCCGATTTAGAAGGGATTTTTTTTCCATTTTGTTACTCATTTTGATCCCTTTCGGTAATGTCAACGGATTTTACGTAGCTCATACGGTTATTGAGTTCAATGGATAAAAATATACTGAAAATCACACTTTGCCACACTTTTCTTAGGGTATTTAATATGTTTATTTTCCAACCGAGATGATTGGGGTCTTTTGCATTATGTTCCTCATTTTCATCTCTTTAGAGAAATAGAATTAAATGCATTAACCGTGTCCAAATCCTTACTTTGTCCACCTTATAACTGTGTCAACACTCTTTGTTTCGACATTTGCCCAATTGTACCGCGATTTCGCGGGCATCTTTTAGTATTAAAATAAGTTAAAGATACTTCATTTCGTTTCTGGTGGAAAGTTGTGATATTGACAATCACACTGCATCTTCTTATTTCCATGTTTAAAGAAAAAATCAGAAACATTTCACTAACAGGAAATATCATGAATTCAGAGGTCATATGTTTAAGGACTTGACAGCAGATAAAATGTAATGAACATAGATTGTAAAAAAACACATGTTATGAATTATAGTATTTCTGTACATTTTTAGACATAAAACTCCAGTAAGCAGCAATTGAAGTTATAATTAGTTAAAAATGTAGAAAACAGAAGCGGAAGTCTAGAAGAAGGAGAAATCTAGACAAAATGCAGGGGACAAATGTTACAACTTAGTTAATTCGGTGTCACATAATAGAGCGACACCACCGATTTAGCAAAAAATGATTTCATTTTTCAAATATACACAAGATTAACTCACAATCAGATATGATAACACAATTCAAAATTCTATATACTGTATAGTTTGCTGATTCCTATAACTACCGAATACAATTTCAAGTTTATAACCAAAGGATTACTGAATAATGTTAATCCCAAAGGCAGGGGCGTAGCTACCTTTTAATGAAGTGGAATCACAAACTAAAGGGCAAGGGGTCTGGGGACCGCCTAAGGCCCCCAGTAGGTCCAGGGCAAAGCCCTGGTAGGGGGCCAGGGAGGCGAAGCCCCCCCGGAAGCTCTGCAAGTATAGCGTTTCAAAACAATCACAACCGAAATAAAACTTGGACATTTTTTTGTGGTTTTTTGGTCAACTATTTGTTTAACTTCGAGTCAAATGAAGACAACATTGTCGCTTGCGTTTTTTGTACGTGAAAGCTTTTAAAATCACGGAGATTTGTTCCATATGCTAGTATTTGTATTGAGCAAAGTAGATTTAAAAAAACAAACAATAAACATAAACACAATACTATATGTGGAGTTTCTGTTAGCATAAACATCATGGATACCAAATACTTGGTTGACACATTCTCATATAGTTTGCTTAACATATGTATTTAGATGTTTAAAAATTGTGTGGGTAAACTCTACAAGAGAGAGATGGGAATTTCGAATTTTACGTAGTTAGGAATATTCGACGTTGAATGTAATGAACTTTTTCATAGGAAATGGTACTTTGATCACGATCTTTTTCATGATCTGCGTTTATAATAACAGCAGTTCCAACTTCTCATTTACTAGTATACGGAAACTATTGATTGATTGAATGGTTATTAATGTCCGGTAGCAAATGTTACATGCACACAGGAGAGATACGTTGGCGTGATGTGAAAATGAACTATTCGTGTTGTCAAGACCTACATACTTAGTCAATATTGAACTTGTTCACAAGGTAACAGTCATTATTCCCGGATCGATACGAGTTGAAGAGTCTTCATTCTAGTAAGATGTGTGCTTTGGGGCGAAGCGGAAAATAATAATTTTCAAGTTTTTTTGTTAACCCTAAAGGGATTATGTTTTTTTTTGCACTCAAAGCGAGTATGGTTGTGGTACCAACAACTATGTAGCTGGTATTTTCTAAAATATGCCCGTAATATAAAAAAGTTCCTCTAAGTTTACACCAGTTGTATGTATTTATCGTACACATAAATGTCTTACAGGATTAAAAATTTCACTGCATGTGTATTCCTCTTACTTTTATTCTTTGTGTAGTTTTTAAAATGCATACATAGAAAGACCAATTCCTATATGTTAACTTTGTCCCTCTCTCTCTCTCTCTCTATCTGTTTTTTTTTTTTTTTTTTTTTGTGAAAACGACGTGGATGCACGTGCTGCCGTGCCTCCGGGTAGCTACGCCCTTGAAAGGTTAAAATTTGATTAATCTAATACTTATATAGCTCATCAGCATGTGGTCTTCTTCGCCAAATCCCACAGATTATATTTTTCAAAGTAAGTAGTTCTGTCCAATGATGATGATACCTAATGCAAATAGAAATAGCACATAACAATATTCAAAACTAGAGCAGATTTTATTCTCTGAGTCTCCATTTGCATACTGACTTAAACATAAACAGAAAGTTTTAGAATTCTAATTTCAGGTTATTTTTAAATTTTTGAAATGATGTAAATATCATTCTTCTAGAAACGTCAGTAGCTTTTCCTTTGTTATATCATAATATATTTGTCATAAAATTTGGTCAAGAGTGACATAACGTGACAAAAGTCGCATAGGTAAAAAATTGGTGGAGCGTTCCCAATTAATTGTTTATCGTGCAAGTAATAAAGCATATAATTTATATCATTATTCATAAACAGGTATATAATACAATTACAAGACAAGTCAAACAAGGGACAAACAAACAGTTTAAAAACAAAGACAAATGAGAAAGCGGGACCCTATAAAAACATGAAATTTAAATTTATAGGTAATGGTATCGAAATAAGATGCTGTCTTCAAGTTTTACGGATATCACCAACTCAGAATTAACTACAGACAAATGAGCACAATTGTTATTCATTCTTGATGTGCTATGCTTATTTTTCTGCATCCCCAACCCCTGTCATTTTAGATGTTCAAATATTATGAAAATATTTGCGATCTCCATCCCAAATTTTCTCTATTTGGTAAACCCCATACAGACCAATATGCGCATGTTTGTTACCACAGAGTATTTATTTTTTCTGACTGTCTTTAACAACATTTAACAAAAAAGTTATGATAATCTTTTGTGCATCACTGTTCGTTTGAAGTGACAGAGATCCAATTCAGTATTGGTTTATTCACTGAAATATATAATTGTTATAATTGTTCAGACCACAGGCCAGATTATAAATGAATGGGAAACTAGCACAAATAAATAATTAATTCCTCATAAATTGTTACCAAATTTAACTGGATTATACTTGGTAAGTTATTGTTTTTTCAATTCCAATTTTGGTTCATTTTCTGAATGACTCTTAACCAGTTATTCAGTTCTAATTTGACAATTGGATGTCAAAGCATGTGATGTTAAGCTTGGAAAATTTCCCGGGCGTCTGTTAAAACAATATCAATTAAAACACTTACATGTCGGAACTATATCTTCTTAGAACACTGCTAACCAAATTTTACCATGAAACATTTGAATTTAAAATGGATGTTATGCAAATTTGGTTTATCTCCTGGAAGTCTCTCAGAACAATCATGTTTTGGAAAAGCACACAGCAACCGTATTTTTAGGACATTTTAGTACCTTAACTTAGACCTGAAACAATTGAGTTTCAAAAGGATGTGATTGTCCAATTATAGTCATGTCAGTATGATGACTATCAACACAATTTTAATTTGCTGAATTTTTGGACGTGTTTCTTTTGACAACAAAAAGTAACGAATATTAAATTCGCTCTTCCACTATGAACCAATTTAATACATTTCAAATAATAAAAGTCCGGATTTATTTATGCCATTTTGTGTTTATTCGACAAACCATTATACGACTCTACTAATGAACATGATGAAATAAAATTTGTCATTATAGCAATTTGACAGCTCAACCGACATTATTCCTTTCAATTTGTAAATGTTTCTGATTAAATCAGATTCCAAGTAATATAATAATGCCATATGTTATAATTATATTGAGTGTATATTTCACGAAAAAAATATATATCTACATGAAAAGAACTTATATATGAAGAAAATACATATTCAGTGAAGGATAATAATCAGTGTATTACTCTCCGGGGTCCCACAGATAATTTAAGCTATTAATTGCAGAAAATGTAATTCAAAATGCCATTATATTTTGAAACAAGAACATGTATATCGTAATTGCATTACACATTCGAAAAATATAATCAAGTTTTTAAATGACCAATGAGTCAAATCTATTGATGTTTAAGATTAGGTTTCATCTTACAAAAGCTTTAAGTATATAACCGTTCACTGACCTTATCAAAATATACGGGAATTTCCAACAAAACTTCCACTGACCCAAATTTTTCAATGATATAGACGTCTATCAAATTATATGTTGTTTTAAAGACAATTGAGAAGGTTGTGTTAACGATCAGATAATTCAATTACAGGTAAAAAAAACTTTTTTCTTATACTTTACCTGTCAACATTACAGAAATTACTGATGCTTTGACAATTTAATCAGATTATAATGAAAAGTAAGTTGTAACTTCACCGTGTATCTTACATAACACAACTGTATTTAATTTGTTAAAACCTTTCAATCAAAAATGAACTTTTGAATTCAACCAAATTTCATATAGGAGATACAAGAATTTTATAATCCCCTTGTAATGGTGTTACCTAAATCATAAAAACAACATTGACACTGAAGAATTTAATTAATATATGTCGGTTAATTTGTTGATCATGTTTATTGGTGTCTAAACGCATCCTTCTACCCATTAAAACTGTTCGGAGTAATTTTGTAAATAAAACAAGGGAAAAGAAGAAAAAAGAAACTACCATACAAGTTTATAGAAACTACATTAAATGTTTATTGTATAAATAGCATAAACATGTTAAATAAAACCAAATTTAGAGATTTAACCAATTAATATCTTAAATTTTCCTCATTTAGATCTTTTACACAATAAGCAAGGTCAAAACTAATATACAAACTCAATATATAACTCAAACCTTTTTTACAATAAAACACACTACTGTAAAACGCCTAAAATTATCGATAAATACGGAGATTTTTAAAGTAACATTAAAGAAAACAATGAAACCATTAAATATGATTTTTTATATCAAATGCAAGTATATACTCTTGACGGATGATGGCACCTACATGAAACCATTTATTACAAAATAAGTAAATACACAACAAGTAAAATGAAGTATGCAAACGTAAACAAAAAATTGTTAATTGAAATGTTGTGAACCATACAATGAACGAGACCAATGTTTTTTTTTATCAGATCTATCAAATGACTGCATAAATTCATGCACAAATAATATGTTTGTAAGATTAGAAAAATTAAATTCACAACCCTTGGGATCCTCAGTGCTCTTTAACGTTATACTTATTTGACTTTTTATTTTTTTGTTGTTATTCGAGCATCACTGATGAGCTTTTTATACAGGACACGCGTTTGTCGTAAACAATATTAGCCTTGTATCTTTGATGAGGTTTTTTATATATACAATTAAGTAATTAGGTCCTTATCTAATTTTTGCTATATCGTTGTTTTTTAGGCTCATTATAAACATCTGTTACCGTACTTTTGTGTTTATGCATTATTTCATTACATCACTTCTCTTTCACTGCATGTGAAGAAGAAATAAACATTTCTTATATGAAATAATACGATCGCGCTAGAATGAAAAATTAATATTATTATTGATAAAAATTCGAAACCCTCTTAAAAAACTGCGTATAATTGGTACTTTAGCTTTTTAATAAGGTGATATAAATACTCGATCTGAACTAAAGGTCTTTGTTAACTTACTTTAAAACAATTCAAAATATATCTTTTTATTATCGATGTCAAATGTTTGATTTGAAAGCTACATGATATAGTAGCAAAGTGTAAATAATAATTGTAACAAGGTAAGTGGAAGTTTTCAAAGATAACTTTCCTTGACTTTGATTGAGAATTTCAGAATTGAAGCCGTGCTTGACATAGATCCGAAATTATCTATAGGCGATGACAAATAAAGTGTAAGAATATTTAATTGTTGCCACTCATTTATAAAAAAAATTAATAAAAATTATAATAGTAATAATAATATTTATATAATAATAATAGTAATAATAATAACAATAATAATGGAAAACTAAATCACATTTCTGTCATAATTAAAGTCGATTAATCCTGTTCAGTTTCTTGATGCCTAAATTTACAATCATTCTTGGAAATTACTGTTATCCCCCTTCCAAACAAACAAAATCTCTTTACATTTATGAGAAGAAACGTAGCTTTCTTATAGATAACATAACTACGAGACTTATACAAGTCTTGATGTATCTGATTAAAGCAATAGATAATCTCTTGACAAAGATTAATAATGGAAATGAAATTGATATCTATCTGCATTTATAGAGTCAAAATTCTGATTCATTTGCAGCATTTTAATTAAAGTGGTCCTCTTTGTTTTGACTTGTACACATTTTTTTTTATTTATATGCAGTATCTTCCTTTTAATCGATTTACGAGATGTAAAGATCTGTCAACTACTGTCAACTAAACTTCTGAATTGATTGCAAACAGTATTGTAATTTATAGGCAGCATTTTAGATAAAGTGGCCTGTTTTGTTCTGACTACTTGTTAACAATCTTTCGAGTGATATAGAATCTCTAGATAGACGTCTCTTTTTGTTCTGAATGACTGTAAACAGTCTTTCGATTTATCGCCATCATTTTAAATAAAGTGTTCATCTTTATACTGAAGTGTCTTGCAAGTTATCTCCACATTTGTATATAGATATGGTAGTCTTAATTTTTGGCAGATTGTTAAAATTTTTTACGATTCATATTGAGCATTTAAAAAGGCCTAGCAATCTTTGTTTTGAGTAAAATCATCATAGATACCAGGATTGAAATTTTGTACGCCAGACACGCGTTACGTCTCAAAAAGGCTCATCAGTGACGCTTGAATAAAAAAAGTTGAAAAAGCCAAACAAAGTACGAAGTTGAAGAGCATTGAGGACCAAAATGTCCTATTAAAATGTGTCTGATTTTAAAAGTGTTTTATTTATTTCCATTTTTTTCTGACTAATTGAAGACATTTTTTAGGTTAATCGGCAGCTCTGAAATTAAGTGTCTTCTTTGTTCTGACGATTGAAATTCATATCTCACGAGGTATATACAACCTATAAAGAATTGGTCTTCTTTGTTCCTGCTACTTGTTAATTATATATAATTTCGAACCGATGAAAAAAAAAGTTTGTAAATAATATCTTGTTTGAACAGTCATGTACAAGACATTTGCAAATTTTGTCAGTTAATTTTTATCTTCTTGCATTCTCAGGAAAAATATTCCAAGTGTAGAAATGAAAATTATAAAATTGTTAATTTTTGTTTTAATAATGATAATATTGATACAATAATTATAATGATAAAATTATAATTATCATAATTAATAATAATAATAATATTAATTTAATTAATAATAATAATAATATTAATTTAATTAATAATAATAATAATAATAATAATATTAATAATAATTAACATTATTTATGATTATTGTAAAATTTATAATTGATAATAACCAATATCAATAATATAGTATTGCTTTAGACTGTGTTGAGATAACAGCATTTTCTTCCCGATTTATATTATATTTTTGTATGTCATTTTTTACAAGGTAATGGGTGGGAAATTGAGAACATTTAAATAAACAGCTGTTACAGTGTAATTTTTTCAACTAATGGGAGAACTAAGAAACGTATTTTGAAAGGCAGCTATATATGAAAATGCTAACTCAAATCGAAAAACAAACAATTAAAATCTGGTATCTATGAATTTATTCAACACGACGTTGTCGCCACAATAATTATAGAAATAGTAACCAATAATTTCTTACCGAACTCATTGTTATAGCCAGATTTTTTGAATTGATAAAGAACACAAACGACTTAATGATAAGATTTCTTGAATGTAGATATCAAAATTCAAACTCAGTTAAATAAATGAGAGTGATATGCAACACACTGTTTTAAAAATGATATGAAAAGTGTCCCATTTTGTAAACAATGTTCTTTTATCAAAGTAAGTACGATTTTATATCCAAGCATTTGGTCATGATCTAACCTGATGAAATTTGTTTCACAAAAACGTGTTGTACGCACGGACATCACATCATATGTTTTTGTTATATAGTGAAATTGTTTTCAAAATTGACAAAGGTCAACGTCAGGAGCCTCTGGCCTTTGTTAGTCTTGTATGTTTTTAGATTTTTTAATTCTCTCTATGTTGAAGACCCATTGGTGGCCTTAGGCTGTTTTCTGCTCTTCGGTCGGGTTGTTGTGTCTTTGAAACATTCCCCATTTACATTCTCAATTTTAGTTATACAATTCTTAGAAAAAGTACTTGTTAGACGATAGACATCCTCACAAAGTTTGTAGGCGGAACAACTACCGCGACTTGATTCTTATTACACTTGGGAAACCCGTTTATGTCGATAGACTATCAAGTGCAAGGTTGATTTAGCAAACGTTTATATCAACAAGGGAAAATCCAAATTTATTTTTGTCTTGCTTACATAGCGGATTTAAAGTGCTGACATTGCAATTCAGTCAAACGATCAGTGTTCAATTTAAATATCAATGAAGTGATGATGCCCGAGAAGGAAGCTTAGATGACAAGTCAAAATTTAAACACAGTAGAAGTATACCCCGTGTTTACCTATGGACAAAATATTTTATGTGAACTTAATATGGATATTACACAGATTCAATAAGATACAAGTTATTAAATACATGTTATATAAAATAAGTTATAAAAACTAATTTGAAAATTTAATTCATATTGAGATGCAGAAAAATGAAGAAAAGGTAAACCTTCAAGCAAAGTTTATATTTTGAAGACTATTTAAGAACACCAAACTTTACATATAGAAAATTAATAACAAAACTAAGAATTAGTGCCCATAATCTATATATAGAAAAAGGAAGACATTCTAATATTCCTCGAATGCAAGGATTATGCCTTAAATGTAACAAATTAGAGGAGGAACATTTCCCTTTTTTATAATAACATTGTGAATTAAAAAGGTGTCTGAGAACCAAGTGTTTTGAAAATTTGGATATAACAATTCTGTTCAAGATTTGTCTGCTTAAAAAAGGAGATTTTTAGACACAAGCCATCAACACTATCATAAGAAAGTTAAATCAGGGTTCTACATTAAACAGTCATTAGAAATGAGGACAGGGGATTCTGGACTGTTTACTGGGTTTAAAAGATTGTATATAAATGGGAATTTTCATTAATATTGTATACTTATTCTGTACATGTTCCTGTCACAAACTTACTGTTTTAAATTTATAATACAATAAACATTTGAATTTGAAATTAAAAAAAAAATAAATCAGAAAACATTACACAATCATGTAACATTTTTTGGTTTGTTTTGTCTGAATCGGACAGTATTCAAATACTTTTTACAATGAAACCTAAGCAAAAATTAAATTAAGTCTTTAAATAGGTTATTTGATTCATGATTTTCGCAAAAATCAAAAGTATGTCAAATTATTATTCTATTTAATAAAACATTTTGTAATTATTTGTTTTTTTAAGAGATAGTGACGGAGAGTCAAATTTTGTTGATATTCTTTGTATTTTTTTTCGCGAAACACTCAAAGGAGGTTCTCACCCGTACATATTGCGTACACATGACATATATTTGGCCTCCTAACTTTTTTATTCGAGCATCACTGATGAGTCTTTTGTGGACGAAACACGCGTCTGGCGTACACATTATAAGCCTATTGTCTTTGATGAGTTTATTTTACAACAACTGGGTTGATGTCACGGATGGTGGATGTTTGCTTCCCCCGAATATCACCAGCCAGCAGTCAGCACTTCTGAGTTCACATGAATTATCACTGATATGGTCATATTCATAAATAAACTATTTACTTAACTTCAAATTGTTTCAAATACTTTGAATTGTGTACTCGAGAAATATATGACTTTGGCATCTTTGATGTTTTTTTTTATATATCAAAATCAAGATTAACTAAAAACCGTACAGAGGCTATCCAATACATTCTGGCAAAATAAAGAAAAAACAAGTCAACTAAACTCAACAAACATTTAAACAAACACCAGGGTTAATTGAGATGCATGTGGAATGTTTGTACTTTCTCATCAGTGAGTAATATTTGTCATATTACATCTGTTAAAATGTGTAGACGAATATATATCCGACAATAAAGCATCTCACAAAAGGAGTTTGATGAATGACTATTGTCTAACCCTTTGGCACCTTTAAATGTATAAACCATTTATCCGAGAACTAGCGAAACAATCTTAGTTCCCTACTGAAGGATTGAATCCACAACACGCAACCTTTGCGAAAACATTTCAAGGGACCACCTAGTCGGACATGACTTAATGTACTAGTTAGATGGTACATTACTGACTGATGGTATTCGTCATATGCAAATTATGTATTGGAAGTGAGGCATTTAAATACAAAATTAAAAGTTTAAATCGTTGTCTAAGAATACTTTGACCTATAATTGTTAACTTTTTACACATTGTGACTTGGATGGAGAGTTGTCTTATTGGCACTCATACCACATCTTCTTATTACTACAAAAAGAATCCTGCGAAAAGTGGAGGATTGTTCAGCTGAAAATAAACCAAAAAGTTTAAACAGTTAATTTTGTATCCAAATCAGTGTGCCATAAATAGATTTTTTTAGCATAAAAAGTTTGCTTTTATAAGCCATTTATTTTCAGATTCTATATTTAAAGTTTTAGATCGACTTACCTTTGTATCCGGTCAATTTAGCCACCAATAGCAAATCAAATAATTTAACCATAAATATTAACAGCACCTGAAGATTTAATTACATACATACTGAAACAACCAACTCTTTAACAAAATATATTCTACTGTTATGTCTTTTCGTCGTTTTTTGTTTTTTTGCCATGGCATTGTCAGTTTGTTTATGACCTAGGAGTATGAATATCCCTTCAGTAAATTTCGCCTCTCTTTTATGTAATTTCAAAGTCAATGGTTGTGCTTTAAACTTTAATTTCCAAACTTTATTTTTATTCAAGATTATTTGTTTTTTTCTGTCTGCAGTTTTGAACTTTAAGAAAGTAAATTTAACCTTCACACTTTTAGTTCATTCGAGATTATTCATGGAAAATATTAATATAAAGCATTATATCTTGATTACTTTAAATTCCGTTTTATTTTCCATTAACTTTTTTCCATTAGTTTTCACGATATGTTTTACTAGTCATGTCGAACGTTCTTAAAGCTGGATATTAAAGAAAGTTCGTAATTATGCAATTTAATACTTCTATAAAAGGAAATGTGCAAGCGAATATAATAGATAGGCGTAACATTCATTAACTCGTCTATCTGCATTATAGCGTTACAACTATTTGAACTGTTTGAATAGATTGGTTTGGAACAAGTGTTCAACTTTATTTTGTTAATATTTGAATTCATTCATTTTAGGAAGGTCCGGATAATACCTCACTGGTAACTGTTTATGTGCTGCTTTTTATAAAATGTTGTAGCACTTCACTGTTTCTGGATAGGTTAACGCATTTCATCCTATGAACAATATATGACGCGTGGAGTGATTAAGCATAAAGGCAAAACTGAATTCCGCAGTCGAAAAATCAAAAAGGTAAGACATTTTTATAAAAATTAATAAAGTGTTATTTTCATTTTACTGGTAACGAACTGATTGACCGATCGAAGTATTTTATTTCCAACTCATTTTGAGAACGTTTCATGTTCTTTTTGCGTAATTTTTGCGACATTTTTCGTTTGTTTTGTGAAAATTATATTGCAATCTAGATGCCTGTTATCAAGGTGTTCAATTTCTTCCTGTTTCCTTTGTGACACGTTAGATAAAAACGTGTTTTAATTTATATCAAGTATTTCAAGTTACAATAAAAGAATAGTCTTATGCATTTTATACCACACATTACGTAAACACCAACCTCATACAGTTTTGCGACATAACAATCCATTCATAATTTAAATTACAATAGGTAATTTTGTTGAAACGATAATAAGGTTACGTAATGACTTTTACATTATTGTTTAAGACTTGGTTAACCAAATCAAAAGGTTTATGTGTATACATTTGAACAAATATACTCTGAATTGTTTCAGCTTTAAGGCAGTAAAAAAAAACCAATAGTGCTTGTTGTTTGATATAGTTTGAAAGAAGTTTTAGTTGGATGGTTTAGGGTGTAGACAATGAATAGTGATTGAAACATGAAAAAGCAGAAGATGAAAGAGAGTTATTTGGAGGGGTTCGTGTTTCGAAATCTTCAATAGTGTCATTCGTAATGTTTTGTGGACTGTTGATTGTCATTTCGTAGATTATTTTGGCCATGGTGGTGTCTGTTTTCTTAGAATAATGGTTTTCGATTGTCCTTGGTGTCATTCCCGTACTGTCATATTGTAATACCTTGGTGTCCGTCTTCCATCGTCGTTAAATGTTTTATCCTGAAACTTTTACATAAAAATCCAGAACCACGGACAAAAATAAAATTTATGAATTAAATACAAGTATGTTCGTTTTGTTGACGTAAATTGTAATTAGCAACACTTCGTATATGTCAACAGTGCTTTTAACATAAAAATCAATAGACCCTGAATCCTAATGTATTAGTTTTATGAAAAATAGTACTAGCTGAATGTGTCTTAATAACACAAATATTCTTACAACTGTAAATTTTTCAACTTGCAGATACATATTTTGCTGAGATAGTGAAAACATTGAATTGCATAAAAAGTAAAATTACAAAAATACCGAACTCCGAGGAAAATTCTAAACGGAAAGTCCCTAAGTGAATGGCAAATTCAAAAGCTCAAACACATCAAACGAATGGATAACAACTGTCATATTCCTGAATTAGGAGAGGCATTTTCTTATGTAGAAAATTGTGGATTAAACCTGGTTTTATAACTAGCTAAAACTCTCACTTGTATGACAGTCGCATACAATTCCATTATATTGACAACAATGTGTGAACAAAACAAACCGACACAATAGGTAAAAATGTCAAAAATAGGGGTACAGCAGTCAACATGTTATAATCTTAATCACTACAAAATCAAGCAAATACGCCAACAAAGAAAAACAAAAAGGCATATTGACAAAGCACATTAGAAAAAACGAAAGAGAAAAATACAAATATTTACCAAAGCACAATAACCCAAAGACTGTATGCCCAGTAAGACCCCATTATGGCCCCAAAATATAGCATTTTTACAAATTTGTTTAAATGTAAACTCTTAGCTCTTTATTGGAAAGAAGAATACTTTTGTTCCGTTAATATGGGCTGTTTTTGACAATAAAATGAACATGCATCAGGTGATGGCATCATAAATTCATGCAAAGTTACTGAAATCTTCACAATTGTAGCGTGTGTGCTAATTGTAAGACAGTTTTGTCTAAAATGGAAGTGGCCGCATTTGTGTTCAGTCATAATATTTAAATATATGTTGTATGTGATGATAATACATAACATATATAAAGGTTGGGACTGAACACGAATGCGGCTAATTCCATTTTAGACAAAAAAACATCTGAAAATTTTATAGATGTTTCATATTCAAGCTTGAATTTGAGCGCCTTTCATGACCACATCAGTTTAATACTTTTACATAAACTAATTGAATCGACCAAAAAATTGAAAACAACACGTTTAATAATTTCATGCGTCTAAAGTAGACCCTTAAGTGTTTAAAAAATGTCAAAAATCTTTCATCAGATGTACTTCGAATTTTAGGCTAAGACAAGCTCTTACCGGACTTTCTCCTTCTTTAATTAATGTGAAGCATGAATAATGTAGATCTGTTGATTGAAATATAAACTTTTCATTTGAAATCACACGCAATCTAAGGTTTTCTATATTATATTTGCAGAAAAAGTTTAAAGTTTTCAATTGAACTTAGTAAAACAATACACTTTGTACCATACATACTTCATGGTTTGATTTTACAATAACTTTAACTTTGACATTGACAAAATATATCTTTTAAAATCATACTTCATGACATAAATAACTATTAAACAGACATTTATATGACAGCATTTTATTTATTCGATACTATAGAACATGTGGTTCCTATCTGATTAGGCTATAACGATCATAGCTATCAAACGGGAAGTATATTTAAGTGAAAGGAAATCCTCTTCTGACTCCTCCATCAGCTTTTTCTTTTCCTTTTACATGTTGTTAAAATAGTGCTTGTACCAAATACTGTATATTCAGAAATATTCAGTGCCTTTATTATTGCGATTTTTAAAGAAAGGACAAAAATGCAAGATTTGTTATTGCGATTTCGGTAAAATCTGCATACAGATATATGCGAGGTCTTATTATTGCGATACTCAACCAGTCGCATTAGTCGCAATAATAAAAACCTCACAATAATTTCTGAATTTACAGTAAGGAATATGACAGTTGTCTTTCACTCGATCAGTTGGTTGATCTAGTGTAACGCTTGATTTTGCCAGTTTTTATGGACCTTTCCACACAATAAACATTCAAAGAAGTCTATGCCTGTTCTTCATTCCACAAATTTGACATGGACATGTATCCAGGAGAGGAAAAGAAATAAGAAATGCAACGGAGGTAATAGAAAATCAAAAGTTTTGGACATGGCCAAAATATATAAAAGGTAAAAGACAAAAATCAGTGTATCAAACCAAGCACAGAAATGTAATAGTTTGTCCCAGTAACTATAACCGATTGACTTGATTGCAACCTCAGCGAATAAATTAAAAAGCAACCAGTGATTGAAGATTGTACTTATAATTTTCAAAAAAATTACACAGTAGGATGTTAGAGGTTAACTAATAACAAAAATACAAATTTACAATATTTTATTAGCTATTAAAATATGCAAAGATGTAAGATATGAATGTTTAAATTAAAAATAGCATAAAAATAAAACCAGCCAAAAGTTAAAGTACAATTCACAGTTCAAATCTCTGATGTAAAGAATCCGTACTTGTGAAATAATATAAAAATAAGAAGATATGGTGTGATTGCCATTGAGACATCTCACTCCCTTACCTAAACATGTAACTCAAATTTACGTTTCGAAACGAATACATTTTTAACAGTGTATAATCAATTCAAAACACGTATTTGAATTTGTTTTGTATCAATATCATCATATATGCAATAGAAAAGGAGTAATCGGAGAATATCACATGGAGAAATTAAGATTTAATTCCAGACAATATAACTTATTGTGAACACAATCAAATAAACAGTATACAAAATAAAATGGATGTTATCCAGAAAAAGAAAGATAAATTTACCAACACAACTCTCAACAGTAAGCAGTTCCTTCCCAACTATCTATTGACACCGTATATATACAAAATGGGATGTGGTATTATATTGCCATTGGGACAACTATCCAATAGAGTCACAATGCATGGAAGTCAGCAGTTATAGGTCACCATTAGGATTTCAAAAATATGCAAAGCCCATACCGTATAGTCAGATATAAAAACACCCCGACAAGACAATACGAAAATGTGAAACGAAAAAAAACAACATATTTATGACAAAACAATAAACGAAAACAGATATACCAGACAGCAACCAAAGACAACCACTGAATTACTGGCTTCTGACTTAGGACAGGCACATGCATGACATGGAGAGGTTAAACATGTTTGTGAGCGCTCAACCCTCCCCTAACGTTTGAAAATGGTGTAAAAAACACACTGTCAAAATCAGTTTGAAAAGGATCGACTCATTAGTTCGACATGAAGCACAAAATAAAGCCAACATAAAGACAGAGGACACAAAATACCGACGTAAGAGTACTCGCAGTTACTGAAAGCTAGTTTAAAGCATATACCCACTTATACTAAATTATGTTTTCCAAAACTAAAGTAATAATCAGTATAATTCGAAAGGATTTAGTGTTAAGACGTCATAACAGTCTGACAATAGCATGATATTGTGCAAAGCAAAAATATAAGTACATAATATCTACAGGATATAGATAAAGGCAACAGTAGTATACCGCTGTTCGAAACTCATAAATCGATAGAGATAAAAACAAATTCGGGTTACAAACTAAAACTGGGGGAAACGCATCAAATATAAGAGGAGAACAACGACACAACAAAAACACAACATTAAAATGTAACACACAGAAACGAACTATAATGTAACAATGGTCATTTCCTGACTTGGTACAGGACATTTTAAGAAAAAATTATGGGTTGAATCTGGTTTTGTGGCATGCCAAACCTCCCGCTTTTATGGCAATGTTAAATATAACATTAAAATGACAACATTACATGACATGACTACAATACAAATAAATGGGAGAACATATAGGACAAAGAAACACACGAATAATAGCTAACAAAAGGTACTAGGTTTAAAATTTAATACGCCAGACGTGCGTCTCGTCCACACAAGACTAACCATATGTTTTTCATAAATGCAAAACATACATATTTAGTTATGATTAATTTATCAAAAACAGAATCGATGTTAGTACCTGTAAAATCTATATTTAAAGATCTAACTACGGCTATATGATATTCCTTACGAATCAGTTTATTCACATCATCAATATGTTTACAAGGATTGTATATGCATTTACGTGATTTATAAACAACATTACCGT